CAAACAAACAAACAAGCAAAGAAATAAAAACACACGCACACAGCCTGAAGCCCAAGTCTTTGGCTCACAGGGAAACATTGTAGAGACACTAAAGTCTTTTTTTTTTTTTATCTTCAGCAATGTTTAATATAAACTTCTACCTTTATAGCAGCAGATATGAAAAAATGAAGGAGAGGATAACAGATCCCTTTTAACATCTGTCAAATTAGATTAGAAAATTTAACTGATATGTGAAACATTTTACTTGCATTCTGTGAAAACTAGCTATAGTGCAAAACTGTACTTCCTCTGCTTTGTTTTAAACCAGCTATATGTAAAAATGTGTGTTCCCCACGCCCACTAATATGTAGAGTGGAAACTGTGTCCAAACTTTCCTGAACTTAATGTGAACTCTTGAGTTTTGATGTTGAAACAACACAGAGAGCTTGTGAGGACAGCGTCCCTGAGACGGACATTAAGGCTGAATTATAAGAACACACAGAGGCGCAATAAACAATTCAGGGACTTGTGGGGGCCAGATAGGAAGGAACCAGAGTGTTAGGTCATCCTCTGTATGCTCATAGTGCCACTGAGAAACTTCCCCCTGCCTGCCAGCCAAAAGCCCTGAGCTCATACCAGACAAACCCACCTTCAGCAAACACAAACACACACACACACACACACACACTTACACAAACACAAAAACCAGTGTGGGAAATAAAACACACCAGCAAAGTGCAGTTCAGACTGGGCTGCAGCCCTGCAAAGCTTGCCTTCACTGCTCAATGTCTGGCAGGTAAACAACCATTGTTTGGAGGTTCTGTGCTTCAAACTGGCATGGTGGCTCAGGCCATGTCCACACATAGCTGGATAAAAACAAATCTATTATGACTGAAGCCGGTGTGTTGAAAAGCACAAGCGGTGTCTTTTTAAGCCCTCTTAGCAGTGAACTGATCTTAAAAATAAATTAGTAATAATAATAATCATTGGTTTATACGTTTAATAAGTAAAACAGCCAGAAGCAAAGTGAGCAACTAGTCAATGAGACAATTAGGACTTTTTTCAAGTGCAACAACAGTTGCTGTTGGTTCTAAGATCTTACTCTACCTTGCGCTACCCACCACAGACAGCAGCACCCTCCATTCCCCTCTCGCTTCTGTGAAAGAAAGTTCTTAACAAATAATGTGAAAAGTAAGACAGATGAGAGCCCCGTGAAACAGTGCAGCTCTAAAACACTCAACAGTCAGTTCACTGTGCTAGTCATAGGTAGGCTGAGTCAGATTAAAAGGGCATAAAGCCACATTCTGCACAGACAACATGAACCTTATCTTGCAACAAGGCTGCAGATCCAAACACCACTACAAGTTAGTTACACTCAACCAATCTAATAATTTATGAATGCAGAGTATACCATTTGAGTGGAGTAATTCAAGTAAGCAGGTTAGGAAATTAATAATATTTCTTATAGACATCCTAGTCCTTTTCACTACAGGTGTGATATGTGCGATACGAAAATATATATCGGACGACAAAATGAAAACATCTATAGTTTCAAATTATACGCTATTGTTTGTTTCGTGGTGTCGCAAAATACACAGTTTACGGCAATATTTTTTTCATCAGGGCACGGAGAATACCACCGTGGCCAGTGAAGACGAGCCAGAACCAGGTAGCTCCAAACAGAAAGACCAGTCAAAACAAATCGAGGACCTTATTCCTAAACAAGGGGCTACCTCTGTTGCATGGACATGGTTTGGTTATGAAATGTCCGACAGGGACCAGAAAACTGTACTATGCAAATTATGCCTCAAACCGGTCCCCACAACGGACTCAAACACGACAAATCTCTTCTACCACCTACATGTGAATGGAGAGATGAGAAGCAAAAAAGAGCCGTCAGGCGCTCAAAATAAACCTTAGACTCAAACATTAGAACAGGCTTTTCCCCGCAGCATCCCATGCAATAAATACTCAAAGTTTCATGCATCGGTCAAAACACTCGACGCCCAGCTGGAAACACTTCACACAAGTCGAACTGCCCGAGATTCACAGAATTTACAGAAAAAGCGCTATTTTGTGATATATATCGTTATCGTGATGAGAAACATCTCATAACGGGATATGAGATTTTGGTCATATCCCACAGCCCTCATGATCTATTTCTATGATGACATAAATGATTGCATTTTCCCAGTTTTGCAGAACTGCTCAAAGATTGCACTTTGTTGAAGTGAAATGCAGTTAATTATAACAGAACAATATAATAATATATAACAAAAGCACGAATAAACAGGCATTTAACTACATTTAGTAGTGAAATGTATGTTCTTTGAAACTGACAGTTTTTTCAGTATCACTTCAAACGTATATTGGTCATAACAGAATAACAACTAACTTAAAAAAACAGTTGGTCTCTAATAAAATTAGCAACGCATCAGTAACTAAAAAGAGAAAAGGCAAAGTTTGTGCCAATAGCTGGATACGACTGTTTTACAAATGTATTACAAGCCTTGGAGCCTCTTGAGTCTAACATGACTCCCTCTCAGTCCATCCAGCATGATTTTGATTTTTTTGTTTTAAGATAAACTTCAAACATTACTTTTTCCGATGTATATTAGACTGCTATTTCCCTTAATTGTATTTAAACAAGCATGAACAAACAATTAAAAAGCTAGAAAAGAGATTACTGAACCAGGCAAATGTTAAGAAACTAATTAAATTAATAGTATTTCACTTGTACAACTGATGTCCATCCACTTATGTTAACAAATCAGGGTAGGCTAAACTATTGATCACTGTATATAAACAGTAATCAATATGATTTTCTGCTCTTCTGCTAGAATTTAAGAGCATACCAACTGCTTTCCCTTCAAAACAATCCCACGTGTCTCTCCATCTCCTTCATCTTTCCTCCTTGCACAGAGGTGCACATGCATTAACAGTACAGCAGTGAATAGCATTATATTAATTGTGTTTAACTCCTGTGCAGGTGGGTTTCTAACAACTTTGTGCTGAAAACTCAAACACATTCACACCATGACTTTGTCTGCAAAAAATTAATAAACCTTCCAGTTCTATTTTTAAGATTTGGTGCTCTAACAGGTATTTGGGACGAGAGTTTAGTGTATATGGGAATGACAACTTTGGACAGCAGTGTAACTCTGTGGGACACAACAGAGGAATAACACATCAGGCTCTGGTTACACTGCAGGTCTAATTCTTCACTAGGTCTACAATTTAGCATTGATTAACCTGCCAATTATTTCTTCAATTTACTGCAATGTAGGATAAGCATAACAAATAAATACTACGTTTTTGCTTGAAAATCGAATCCATTATCAAATCACCATTCAATTCATTGCAGCCCTATTTGGAATGCTCAAAGCTACAAGGTTGCCAGATGTGTTTTTAAAGACCAGAGTTTAGAATTCCTAATAGATGAAGAAGGAAAACTTGCCTCTTTTCTGGACCCAGCCTTCCTTGACGACGTTCTGGTCGCTCATGGTGGCTTCTCCTCGTGACCAGTTCTCCCAGCTCTCCCAGTATGGTGACCGTGAAGGGACAGTCGTTGGAGGGTTAGCAGGACAGTGGGTTTGTCTGAAGCTCAGTCAGCTGTCCGTCTGACCGCTTGACTTATTCTCATCAGACTTTAAATTCTTCCACTCACTGCCTAATAGATGAATAATTATACTTCTCTTGTCCACTATCACTTACTCTTTCCTCCTCTTGCCCTTCTGACCCAACCTGACTTTCTCCTGCTGCCTCTCTTCCCGTCTAGTGTTCCTCACCGTCTTTACTTTTCTTGCTCCCTCTTTCCCTCCCTCCTTCCTTCCTTTCTTCTCACTCCCTCTTTTACAGTGTTCCCTTCACTCTCTTGTTCTCTCAGAGTTCTTCAGTTTTCAGGCGGTCCAGTAGTGAGTCAGCCTGGAAGGAAACAACGACAGAGAAAGGAGAAAACTGAGAAGAAAAAAAACCCACAGCAGGTCAGTGGATAGTTTCCTTCTCACAGCAAACACAGCAGGCAACCACTCATTGTTCAGAACCTTAGCACGCTTCCTGCCTCCTTAACTCCTTCCAACCTTTTCCTTGTTTCCTTTCTTACATCCCTTGCCAGACAATTTGCTATTTCTTTCATGTCTCTGGTTCCCAGCTCTGTAATTTTTTCATCTTCTCTTTCCTTTGTCTCTCTTCACTCACCTTTAAGTGAAGGAAATTCACGTATCTCATTCTCTCCTCTCCCATTTTCTATGCCAACTACCATTTAAGGTTGATTCTGTTCATCTGGGCGTAACGTTTTCAGTGGGAAAAATGCTACGTCCAGATGAGCAGAATCAACCTTTCAGGATTTGCTTGCCTGGATGATTGAGCATGCATCAAGACATCTATTATTTACCTGCTATCAACTTCCTGATGATTCTCATTTTCTTTTACTTCCTTTAGTTCTTTCTTGTCATGTTCCTTCTCTTCCTCACAAACTCATTTTCTTCCTGTCTTGTCCCCTCCCCATTCTGTCCCTCTCTTCATCATTTCTTGACTAGGTATACTAGTTTTTTCCTCTTTCTCCGGTCCTTCATTCAGTTTCCCCATCCATCTCTCCCTTGGCTGACTTTTCCTCCTTCCACACAGAATTCCAGGACCTCCCAGTCTCACCCGTTTCCTTCCTTCCCTCCCTCCCCAGTTCTCACTCCTGCTTTCCTCCATCATTCATTCCCTCATTCATTTTAATTCTTTTGCCTCACTTTTTCAACTCCTGTCGCCCCCTCCTTCTTCACCAGCCCCTACTTTGATTCTTTTTCCTATTTCTATTTCTCTTCTTTCACCTTTTTCATCCATCCTCACATTTTTCCATCCTACCCCTCATAACCTTCTCTGACTATACCAACAGGCTTCTCTGTTCTTAGGTAGGACTTCACAGTTGTGAGAATGTTGCTTGTTTATGTAAATAAGACTTACAGTAAATATGACAAGTTAATTGAGAACAATGGGACATATGTTTCTAGAACAATCTGCATTGTGTCAAACTTATGACTTAACTTATGTCTTAACTTATCAAGTTAACAACAACAAAAAGGCAGCGGCTACTATTTACTTTAATTCATTGATTTCCCAAGATAAATTGTTAGTCTTGAGTGTGAAAATGTACAATACACTAACAGCTGTTACATTATTTCATAGAACAGCTAAACAATTGGATAAAACTGTTTCTATATAAAATTTAAATACAGTGAAATAGTTTTTCCAGTTTAACTAGAAAAGGAGTTGGGAGTTTGCATATCATGTCAAAATAAATCAGATCCAGCTAGCTGCGGCTGAAGAGACTATTTCTCTCTGGGGATTAAATAGTCCATCCATCCACTGCAATTCGTCTGCAGCTGGGTTGCAGGGGCACCAGTCCTAGCTGAGACGCCCAGACCTGCCTTACCTCCAGTTCTTCCGGAGGTTTCCAAATCAGCCACGGGGTCTTCTCGTGGGGCATGTCTGGAATACATTACCTAAGAGGCACCAAGGAGGCACCCTAGTCAGATGACTGGTTCCTTTCGATGTGGAGGAGTAGCATCTCTATTCTGAGACCTTAATTAACCGAATTCCTCTCCCCATCTCTAATAGCCCTTTTCCATTAGTATATACTCGGGTCAGCTCGGTACAGCTCGACACGGTTTTTAGGGTTTTCCATCAGATGACAGAACCTGGTACCTGGCAACAAGGGAAATGCCCACACAGAAACAACACCGTGGTGCTGAGCCTGACAAAAAGCCACAGACCGAGCAGCAGGTATAACATCGCCTTGACATCCACCTTTGTTCATGTCACATACAAATGACGACACGGGATGTTCAGCCATGTTGCTATAACAACCCCATGCACATTAAATGGTACTCGATTGTAATGGAAAACAAGTTGTGCCGCCTCGAGTTGCTTTGTGCCAATTCAAGTAGGTAGCAACGGAAAAAGGGCTTAAGGAAGAGCCCAGCCACGCTTTGGAGGAAACTTTCAGCTGTCTATATCCTCAATCTCATTCTTTTGGTCACTACCCAAAGCTTGCCACCACAGCTGAGGATGGGGATGCAGACCAACTGGTAAATTGACAGCTTTGCTTTAATGCTCAGCTCTCAGTTTTCCACAATGAGTGTCTTCATTACTGCAGAAGCAGTACCAATCCATTCATCAATCAAACACTTCCCTTACCTATGAACAAGACACCAAGTTACTTAAACTACTCCAAAAAGCAATGATAAGATTTTGAGGCCACCAAAGTGAAGACCTTCTGCCACTTGGCTTCACCAAATTATTCTGTTCATAAAAAATTATGCACAGTGACAAAGAGCAGGTCCAGTGCTATGCAAGTCAGGGTGCAGCTTTAGGTGAAGGCCCTAACAGTCTGATTTCTGCCTTTTGAAACTAGATGTTGAGACATGGAACAACAGCTTTCAGCTGGGGAAGAACCATGAGCAAGTTTGGTTGACTCTTAATGGACTGCATTCCACACCTCCATTGTTGAGGTGTCTGTACAGAGCTGTGGCTGCGAGGTAGCTGATGCCTGTCATCGTGGCAACCTCCTAAGTAGATAGCAGACACCAAATGTGAAAAGAACTGTTGAATTAAAAAAGACGTCCCATAGGACTTTGTTAGATCGTATATTTCCTGAGATACCTGACAAGTACCAAAAGGCAAAGTGGACTGTAACTCTGGCAGTGACAAAAGCAGAAACTCAGCTGTGGGAAAAGTTTGGTGAGGCCATGGAGCAAAATATTTGATTGGCCTCCAAACAATTCTGTTGAACCATTATACAACTTAGGCCCTCCTAAGTTGTATAATGGTTCAACAGAATTGTTGAACCAGTACCATGCTCTCATGTAGAGCTGGGCGATATAACGATAACGATATGTATCGCGATATAACTTTT